ACTTATTCGCAGATATTTTAGTTAGCTTTTTAGCGCTCCTAAAAGGTGCTGGACTTTACAGTATTTTAGCTCTATGTCCTTAATTCATTTTACATCACCATCACCAACGCTGCTTAGCTGAGTTTTGAATAGGTTATCCCAGAATAAAGACTGGCATTTTCTTCCACCCCTGTAAGCACTGGCATCATCACAGAGCATTTTCGATGGCTCTAAACTAAGTTGATGAGTTACAGAGGGGAACAACTTTTCCTCTAGCAGCAGAAGCATACCAGGTGTCAGATAGGAACGACAGCCATGGTTAACCCCTGACAGATTTGAACAGTGACCTAGATATCAGAAGCAGCATATCACCTAACAACATGAAATACAAACATAATCCATAACCTTTATTAAATATAGTGTTGCATTTCATCCTGCTGCAGATACGTCATTATCGTGCTGTGGGCAAAGATGAAAATAGCATGCCTGATATCATGCATTTATATAATAAATAATAATGCTTAGCATACATACAGCACCGTTCATTCTCAAAACACTTAAAATCATTTAAACCTCAAAAAAAGCTGTGAGGTAGATCAGTATGTTGCTTCTTTTTTTCTTTTTTAATAATTACTTTTCCACTAAAACTTATGTGTAAGTGCATCACATCAAGGAACAATAGATCTATGGCCAAATTCTGATCAAATTACTTCGGTGAAACTGCTAATTATCTTTGAAGCCAATGGAAAACTTCCAGCAATATAACCAAAATCAGAATCTGGATCCTATTCCTACATGCCATAAAGCTGAGCTGTTATTGGATAGCTTGGTACATCTAAAAATAAACCCTTTGGTTTATTTTTAGCTCATTCTGGAAATCGGGTTGACATTGTTTCTTACTTCTCTGGCTAACTTAAAAAGTAAAATCTGACAACGTGCTCCTTTTCTTGTTTGCCGTGTTCTCCTATCTGTTTCCAGGCACCCTCCCTTCGCAGGCTGGGAAAGCAAGATGATGTGGTTTTGCAAGATGACGGTACTGGTGGCAGCCTACAGCCCCGTATGGTCAGTTATCACATCTCGGGGCCACCAGGTAACTCAGAGTAAGGTCCTCTTTCCTCTCCCTGCGCCCGACTTTGGGGTGATGTTTTTGTGCAGTCATTCAGTCAACGCAAAGTGAACCCTGCTGCCTATCATTCTCGTCTGGTCGTTTCATACTCTCTTAGGACTCTTTAAAGGAGACGTCTAGAATCCGTCCTCTTTTAAATCCATCGCTGAAGCTATTGCAGCCAAGGTTATTGCCAGCTCCGGCTCAGCAGCTATTACAGGAGGTCCAGATGGCCTTTCTTTGCTCCTGATAACCTCAGAGAAGGTGGGACGGATTCAGCTTAGCCTTCGGTCTGCTGTAAGACGTGGTCAGTACGGCTCACGGCAGTGAGCAGTTGTTTGCCATTTTGTTCTGCATACAAACTCTGGGAGGGATAAAATTTACTTTCTCTTGTGGGAGTAACGTGTTCATTTGAACAGGCCATTGTGGTTTAACTGTTGAAAA